TTTTATTAATTGGACACCAAGATAGTTGATTGGGAGAGAAGCTTTGCTGAAGCCAGTGTACTGAGCACTCTATTGCTTAATCTGTGGAAGAGTGTTTGAGCTAGTAAAGAATTAACATTTATGTTTATTAAGATGCATACCAGAAGTGATTTGGAAGTGTGTCAGTCCTTGGAAAAGAGCCTTCACAGCAGTTTTGGTAGCCTTGGAGAAAATGATAATATCATCAGCATAAGACAGATGACTCACCCCAATGTTAGATCTATGCTGATATGTCAGGTGAGGAGAAGAGGCAAACATTTGATTTAAAAGTGTAGAAAGATAATCCATAGCAAGAATGAAGATAGACAGTGGATCTCCTTGTTTAATTCCCCTTGAGGCAGAGAAGAACCCATGGCTTTTACCATTGATTAAGATAGTGATTGTTAATACAAAGCCACCTTATTACCAAAATTATAAAGGCCCCAGAGAAACCCCTAGCATTTAAAGTGTCCAAGATAAAATTCTAATTGATAATATCATAAGCTTTCTGGATATCCAATTTCAGAATGAGATTGTTGCCTCTACACTTTCTGTCAAGGTCCAACAACAACTCCTGTGCCAAGAGAATATTATCAGAGATTTGTCTCCCTTTCACAAATGCAACTTGGTTATTACAGATAAGTTGCTGGAGGTGAGGTTGGAGCCTGTTGTTAATAACCTTGCTGATAACTGTAGACAAGACATTTGTTAGACTGATAGGTCTGAAATCTCCCCACCCAATCCTGCTAGAATTTTTGGGAATCAAAGTTATAGTGAAAGCAGTGAAATACTTAGGGGGATCCATACCTTTAAAGAAGCTTTGCACAACATCAACAACCTCCCCACTGATGATATTCCAAGTAGTCTTATAGAATTTGGCAGTAAAACCATCAGGGCCAGCCACCTTATGGTCATCAATAGAGTCCAGTGCAGCTTTAATTTCTCCTTGCATAGGAATCTGAATAAGGTCCAAGCTTTGAACATAATCAATGCACTCAGAGAAAAGTTCTACCTTGATAGGAGCTCTTTCAGTAGATTGATCCATAAAGATATTCTGAAAATAATTAACAACATCAATGGAAATGTCCTCAGCATCAGTTACTACCTTACCATTAGAATCATGTATGGAAAGGATCATGTTATTCTTCCTTCTGAAATCAATACAAGCGTGATAATAACTTGTGTTTCTGTCTCCATCAATAAATCTGGTGACTGCTGCTTTTTGTTTCA